TTCTGAGATCCTTGCTACATTCAGTTCTGGACCACGGCCAAAAAAAAAGCACTGCAAGACTGAGGGGCCAGTGACAGTTTTAAAATCTCATATATCCAGCCACCAGAGCTACACACTAATGCTTTATGCCACTGTGATGCTTAATGCTTACACAGTTACAGGTCTAGCACCAGGAGGCCCTAGACATCAGATGCAAAAATGTTAATTTTCATCACCAACTTTGCTTCATCCCACTCGTTCTCATCAATTCAAAGGGGATTTTTACCAACCAACATTGTGTGAACAACTGGAGATGTTCTGTAATTGGACAGCCAGGTTTCAATGCTACCAGGTGGCTGCAAGCACTAGGCTCTGGTGGGTAATGGGTTCCAATATCACATCAACAGCAAAGGGGGGGGAAAAAGCAGGACTGTTAAGGAGATCAACAATTTTATGCTTTGATCTGCCGGGGAAAGAAAATGCTTTGACAGAAAAGGTTATAAATAAATCTGAATTTGTACATCGTGCCAAGAACTGGTCCTGATTCCAATGACCAGAAATACAATGCCAGTGCACGTTATCAAGAATGAAAGACCACAAAACATAATTCCCAGTACAAATTACATTTGTTTCCAGATGATCTCCAAGGAAAAGGAGTTGAACCTCTATGAGTGGGAAGCAAAGAGATATGAAGCAGATGACAGAAAAAGAAAGCAAGGATTAAAAAGATTGTTTAACTCCCTAGAAACCACCCACTTCTCCCTGAAAAACACCTCAAACATTGGGAAGAGACTCCTGTTCCTTCCCTCATATCCTTCTGATATACCCCAATACAATCACAAGGCAAGAGAGCAATTAAGGTCTAATGTGAATTATCACAACAAGCACAAAAGCAATGTGCTTTCTTTAGCCTCCCAGCCACAGAAGCAGGGAAGGACAAACCCAGAAAGAGAAAGATGAGAAAGTGGTTATTTAAAGAAATATATATTATTAAAAATCCGGCAATGCATCAAATACAGGTAGAAATTGTTTCCAGGAAGCTTAAAATTAAGGTTACCATTGCACACGTAGCAGATACACTTGGCTTTGTTTAGTTAATGGAGAATGATATGTGTTCTGAGAACGTCAGGAGCCAGGGCTTCACACAGTATCACAGAATAAATGTAATAATGATTATTATTAGCTATGGAAAAGTAGCTGGGCTTTCTCAATTGGCCTAGTTTCAACTCAGTACTGTTTTGCTTCAAATGAAATCAATAAATTCTATGAAGTTGATGTATTATTGCAAAACTATGTTCTTCTACATTAAAGAGCAAGAAATAAAGCATGACCATCATGTTTTGCAACTAATTTATTTTTTTCTCCTTCTTTAATCTGTCTTACAAGTTTGCCATGACATTTTACTGACAACAGTGCTAAAATAACTCCAAAAAACACAAAAAGGAGACTAATTAAAAATAGGGAGACAGTGAACATCGTGATACACTGGCATAAAATTATTCCTTCAGCGGCCTTTGTAAAAATACTGCTAAAAACCAGCATTTGCTATGGCAATACTGAATCAGATTGTTTTACAAAACATGTAATTTCATATGCAGATCCTTGCAGTGCCAGCTTTCGGATGAGCACCAGATCATTTACTTAGTGCAACCTACTGAAATGAGGCACTTCCAGTTTTAGTCAAGAAAGTGCTAGGTGCTTTCTTGGAACAGAACTTCTAGCCCTGAACTGATACAAATTACAGATGGTGCTGTCATCCCCTTCCCCCTCAACTTCAGAAATCATTCAGAGCGCTGTTTCAGCATTTCTCACTATTAAGTGTATACATGAAGGAAAAGGTTTTGCTCAGGCTGGACAGAACTTTGCCAAAAACTCGATAACAGCACAGCGATAACTCAGATATCTTAAAAACTGCTGGGTAGACTGTGTACTGCAAATACGAAAGCACCAGTTCTAGAGGAGTGGAAATCAGCAGCCAGCAAACACACGTGGAGCGTTGAGAAGGAGGTTAGCAGCACCTACTGGTCACAGTGAATACTGAACACTGACTTTTATCTCAATGAACAATTTAAAAAAATCTTTTTACTGCTCAAGCACTGATCTGGAATTACCTATGAAGTCACGCTGAACTAGAGATAATACTTTTAATTGGATCAGCTGATAAAATTAAAAGATACCACTTCACCTAATAAACTTTTATTCCTTCCTTCAGACCATCAGTCACATCACTGTTAACTGTATCAGCACCAGAAATATCTCAATCATTAGCAGTAAGTAAATATTCATCGCATGAGCTGAGCTCAAGGCTTCAGCACCAAATGGGACGTAGCTATTTTTCCTATTTTATGGGACTGAAAGATTCACATTGCACATCACAACACACACGAAGCCTTCCTTTGTTACTGGCTAATTATTACACAATCAAAGCAAGTCAAGTATTGTGAACTGCCTAACATCAGCCATCAGTTTTGTTTAACCTACAAAGATCTGCAAACTATTAAAAGTTTTTGCAACTTTTCAGAATTTCTACCATGCGTTTCTCAAACCTGCAAAAGTAAACCTTCTTCTTCCAGTGCAACAAAACACCTACGGCAGTCTCTTGATCTACCTTCTCCCCTTAAAGAAAAAATAAAACCCGAACAAAAACACATCGAGCACAAAATTGCAAATAGTATTTTCAGCAAACATTTCCTCAAAATTAAAATGTTCTCAATTCTAAGTATTTTAACTCAGCTATAAAAAAAACCCCTATATTCAGCTGTCATATTTAATGCTCGCTTTAAATTGCTATTTTAAAAAAGTATTCTTTTTTGTGAAGTTGTGTCTGTGGGTCCTCTGATACACTAGCCTCAGGCGTTAGAAGTTTTCCTGGTTCTCATCCAACTTTGGAAATAATATCTTCTTGCTTCGGGTGTTAAAAGGATTCATACATTATTTATAAGGACTGCTAAAATCTAACTCCTGGATCTAACTCGCAAGAGAGAAAGTATAAAAAGTTACATACAAGAAAAAAAGTACAACTGTCCTCGTTTCAATTTTTACTCCCTTTTTACAAGTCACGTAGAGCCAGACTGAGTCTGTAATTCTCTCACCTCTCCCTCCCCTACATTCTGATGTTCTTCTACAGATGCTTTGAGCTCTTTAGGATTTGATCTTTCCTGCGTGTTTTTCAAGTTTGATTTTCCAAGTAAAAAAACCCAAAAGGCAGTGCTGTCGGGGAGCCTGTTACACATCAAAGGAGTGGGACTGCTCTGACAGAATGGTGTTTGTTTACCTCCCGAAAAAAATCAGACTCGAGAGTATCAAGAAAGTAGCCAAACAGCACAGCCAAAATCCCTTTTCACTTTCCAGAGTCGTCTTCTATGCTTTCCTCTTATTGATGCTGTTCTAATATCCATACACATTATTTACATTTTGCCTTTTCTTTCCAGCTCAAGAGTTCATTGCTAGGTTTTGAACGATACTTTCAACAACCTTCATAAGGAAGAGCTACCAGTATCTTCTTATCAATTGAAGAAAATGTTTCTGCACTGAACAACGTTTTCACTTCCCGGGTTACATGAAGGTAAGAGATTTTATAGACCAAAAGCACTTTAGTAACTACTTACTCTATGCAATTAAAGACAGTAGAGAAGTCAAGTCTACAAAGTGTCAGGAAACACTTGCTACCTTGAGCAAGTCTTCCCATTGTTACTGGAAATAGAACATTTTTCTGGACAACAGCACACACTGCAAGCACTGTATCTGACATTCATTCACAAGCAGATAGCTGTTTCCAACTGCAGTTTCTCTTAAACAAACTGAAGCACACAGAAATGCTACCTGAATACCCTGTAAGAAAGACTGAAGATATACTTACTGCTATACTTTACTACTGTTTTCCAAATCATTGAAAAATCGCCCCATCCAATGTTTATAGCAGCACAGTAATGGATTTCACCTTACTGGGAAGGCAACATCATTTATTCGTTGTTACACTAGGCAGAATTTCTGTACGTATTTCAGCCTTTGAGATCTAACTTCTTCAAAAAGAATGAGAGACAACAGAGCACGATTCTGTCCTCTCCAAAATTTTAAATGAAATAAATATTTGGGGAATTGTGTTATTTTGTTTCACTCTTTCAGGGAAGTATAATCCTCTTTGTCTGGCATTTTTGCAAACCACAAACTTATTTGTGTTTTTTTCCTCCCAAAGCATACACGCAGGACGTTCACTGTTTGAAGAGAAATTTAGATGAGGTTACATTTCTTAAACATTTACCTTATTAGCTAGCAATCAAATTTCATGTAGCTAAAAGAAAAAAAAGGAAAACAACAATCTTCCCTTTTTCAATGCCACTGTTAAAATCATTGCAGCTTGTTGCATTTCTACAGTTGGTTTCACTGTTCAGCAAGCCTCAGCCCCTGCCTCTGTGCAACTTTCATACAGGAAAGGAGAGCACTTGGAATAGCAATGATAAAATACCAGAAATGCCAGCCAATGTCAGTAAAGGAAATTAGAAGCAAGCACTGTGCCTTTAAACAGATCTTATTTTAAATCAGACTTAACTAGAAGATGACTTCAGGTTGGCTTTTTTCTTTTTCTTTTCTTTTTCTTCTTTTCTTTTCCCTGTTCCATTTGCTCAACAGAAGTACCCAGCGCCAGGTGCTGAGAATGCTGTGCCAGATTCACTACTCCTCCTTCTTCTGCCTTTACCAAATTTACAACCTCTTGCACTACGTACAGCAGAGGGAGGCTTTCACATACGAGGTACAGTAAAGAATATTTCTTGTCATCCTAGAACTTAAGCATGTTATAAAAATGTGTGTTGACGTAGCACATTTTGATACCAGATCATCTCTGAAGCAAGTAAATAATAGTGAAAAACTAGCTTCTGCCACAGCACTGTCACTCATTTTGACACCATGCTTTAATATCACCTTTGCCTGTATAATTTGCAGTGACTACACAGCACAAGGATGTACACAAATATGCAAACAGGCGAGGACCAAAACTGAAAACAAAATGATTAATTTCGCACCTTCTTGAGAAGAAACAATAGGTGGCAGATAGTCTGGGATATATTCTTTCCTTTCTTCTGCATCTTTACTCCCAGGTTGAGGAAACTGTAGGACATTGTTCTTGCTGACGGGAAATGAAGGGATTTGATGTGCGAAAGTCACAGGTTCAATATTGTGTATATAGTCTTCTAGTTCATGTAGATTAACCCCCATGAGCTTAAAGGCATCCCCTACGTCATCCAAAATTGGATCTGTGCGGCCATCTGTAACAAAACAACAACATAACAATGACATTTTTTCAAAAATCCAGGTAAAAAAAAAAAATCATCCTGCAGAGATTACAGTTTGCCTACTCTCAGTACCAGTAATGGAGATTAATGATCCACAGCTCTGTCAGGTTTATCACTCACTGAGCTACAAAAAAGTTCTAAGTTAAGAACATATTTCTGTTAAAAAATGTTTTATTTCAATCCCTACCATTTTAAAGAACTGCATGTCAACAGCACAGCAAGGAAAACCGAGGAAGGCTAACAGGCAGCTGTCCCTGGCAACAGAAAATTAACAACACGCACCACTCAAAGCACTCCGATTTCATAAAGTACATTAAAATAAGCAAAAGCCCTCAATATGCTCAAAGTGTCCCTTTACCAGCACATAACCGACTAGAGATGATTTTTCAATTTAGAAAATTAATAATTCTATTTGTTGAATGAAACTAGTTCATAGGGAACAAAAAAAGAAAATATATTGTGTATCTCTTGATAACAAAAATTCTTTACTAGTATCTTTCCATCAGATGGAAGCTACAGGCTTCATAAGCTATGAGTCACTATACCTACCAGCTAGATATACCTCCTGGATGAAACACAGTAATATCAACAGTGTTCTGATGATGAGGGAATATTCTAGTCTAGATTTTAGGGACCAATTTCCTATGGCGCAATTCAAGTTAAACTCTGCAGCAAAAACCTTCTTTTTCTTAAAAAAAAGTACCATGAAGCCTTACTGGCCAAGCAGTCAGAACCTTGCTTTTACACATTCCCCAGAAGAAGACAGTCTAAGAGACTAGGAACTTCATTCTACACATGTAACTGGGGACAGAGATGTCAATTATACAGCACATAAGTCCTCCAAGTGCCTCAGTTTCCCTAAGCAGATCAGTTCCTCCAAACACCTCCAGAGGGAGAACGGGGCACCTGGCTTCAGACCAACAGCACTGCTTTGAGTCTCCTAACTCATCATCATTATCAAACAGATGCCTTAAACTACATCTATTTTTCTTGTTACTCTATAAAATTATACCACATCATCAACACTATGGCTTATGAAGATATTATAACCCTAAATGATAAGATGCAATTTGGTTGCTAAAGTAATAACGCAAAATCAGCCCACACTTACAGAAGGAACACAATCACTATTCTGAACCCAGAATCAGAAGGCTCAGCTCTAGAGAATTGGGTCAGGGCAGGGGGGTGGAAAGGATGCTCTTTTGTTCTTTCTCTGAACCTAATCTCCTCTTGATTTATCTTGAATCCAAAGCAGCCGAGCGGGCTGGTTCTCACATCACTGGATGAATTCAAACCCCCAGCCAACTTCTGCCTCCAGGTACGTTTAGGAAATAAGAATTTTGTTCTAGAATTTCTCTTCTCAGTCTTGAGGTGAAGATAAGAGTAATACTCAGATCATGGCTTTGATTCTCAGCTCTGTAACACAGGCCTCTTGTGTGACTGTGGGCAAGGTGCTTGTGTTTTAATTCTCTTGCCTCTTTTGTCTGTATTGAGTGTGAACTCCGTGTGACGAGAACCATCTCTTACTTTGTGTTCGTACAATATTTAGTACAAGTGCCAATTATTTCCCCTGCAGACTCCAGGGACAGATAAATCCAGACGCTTACACAAATGTAATTAAGGCCATCACAATTCTAGGGCAGTTTTGAGATCCCTATAGTTATTGTGCATTTGATAGAAGTGTTTTACCATTAAAAAACTGAACTTAGTTGACGCAAACAAGAAATTTTGTATGTCATTTTTAGTCACTCTACAGACCATGCAATGCAATACCCTTGAACTTACTGAACCACTTGTTAGGGTCAAGCTATACAGCTAGTTAAAGTGCAAAGCCTGAAGAAAACTCTTTAAGCCCCAAAGCAGAGCATATTTATTCCTTGGATGCTCTTGAAATTCCTGACTGTGCCGTGCTCAGAGATGACCCATGGGGAGCCTCAGCTCTCATTCCCAAAGCAGACATCACCCAGACTCAAAACTGTACCTACAGATAAGGACACACCGTGCTTAACAAAGAATGATTTGGGTTGGAAGGGACCTTTCAGATCATCTAGCTCCAACCCCTGCTGTAGGCATGGATACCTCTCTCTAGACCAGGTTGCTCAAAGCCCCATCCAGCTTGGTCTTGAACACTTCCAGGGATGGGGGATCCACAACCTTGCTAGGCAACCTGTTCCAGTGTCTCACCACCGTCACAGTAAACAGTTTCTTCCTGATATTTAGTCTAAATCTACCCTTTTCCAGTTGAAAACCATTTGCCCTTGTCCTGCCTCTACATGCGCTCATAGTCCCTCCTCAGCTTTCCTGTAGGCCCCTTCAGGTACTGGAAGGCCAGTACATTCACACTGCCTCGGAAAGAAAAACAAAAACACACAGCCAGGTTCCCAAGACTGCAAGACACACATCTGTCCCATTCCTGGGGCAGAATAAGGGTCTTTGGAGAGCCCTGCTCCACGAGAGCCTCTTGTCACCTCTACTGACATGCTTAGGGTGTTCTAGACCAGTTTATCTCTGCAATAGGAAAAAGTCTTCTTGTGCTGCAGTTCCTGAAGATGTACTGACATCAGAAGCAAGTGAGAAATGCTAAAAAGGGTTTCTTCCTACAAGTGGTTATTGAGGATATGTGGTAGAGAAGCAATCAGCTATGATGTGAAATGTTTTACGGCGTGAAAATATAACGAATGTTTAAGGTATGTAAATATTTAAGCAATTATGGCATTAAAAAGCAAGCTTAGAAGATGAGCATAATAGATAAACTTAGCTTTTCATTATGAAAAAAAATAAATACAAGGATTATTTTTCCATATCTCTGACCCAAAGAGTTCATGACAAGTCATTGGGCTTGTTCAGAAGTGAAGACTCTGGAACACGTCATTGGGACCTCTCAGTACTCAGAGGGAGCTCACAAGGAGGAGGAGGACCAAGTTTTTTATACAATCTAACTGTGATGACTTTAAACTAAGAAACTGGTAGATTTAGATTAGATGTTAGGAAGAAATTCTTTACTCAGAGGATGGTGAGGCACCAGCACAGCTGCCCAGAGAAGCTGTAGGTGCTCCATCCCTGGAGGTGCTCAGGGCCAGGCTGGATGGGGCTCTGGGCAGCCTGAGCTGGTAGCAGGGCAACCATCCCATGGCAAGGGATGGAATTGGAGGGGCTTTGAATTCTCTTCCAACTTAAGGCATTCTATGATAAAACTGACTGAAAACTCAAAGCGTTTAAAAGCTGCAACCGTCACAGTGATGAAAGCACTGATCAGTTCACCTTTTCTAGAAACACCACCTCAGTGAGAAAAGCAAGCAAAACAAAAAAAAAAATATGGTTTCAAAACACTTATTAACTAAAAATACAGCAAAAAATGCTTTAAATGCAATTTCAGGTGATTTATCAAAATTTGAAAAAACTCGAGCTTGTGCCTTTATACTTCTAATAGTCTAACGTTTCTCTTCCCTATCTTTTTCAATAGAAATTCACTTAAACAGCAGAAGCCAGACACATTAAAGAGAATGCTGACAAACATGCAACTCTCCTGGTGTTTCACAAGAAAAATAAAAGTAATAATTTTATGTATACTGAACTTATTTTGATATTCTTCAGGTATCTGTGCTACCCTCTGTTTAAAAATTCATATGCTGGCACCTTCCAGTAAAATAAGTAATCCAATGTCTCACAGCAAGTGCCAAATTACAGCTGTGGAGGTCTTGGGTTCCAGTCTCACGCTGCTGCCTGTATCACAACACTTCAATAATATCACAGAATCATAGAATTGCTTGAGTCAGAAGGGGCCTCTAAAGGTCACCAAGTCCAACCTTTCTACAATGATCAGGGACACCTAGAGCTCAGTCAGGTGCTCAGAGTCATGCCTGACCTTGGATGTGTCCAGGACACACGTTCTCTCGGATTGGGAAGAGAAACAAGACAGCTGAATGCTTCATAAAGCAAGTTACAACTCTCCTGCTGATCTCAAACCAGTGGAGAATATTTCTCCTCACAAGCTGTAAGCTATACTATCTCCTTGAAAGGCAATGATGCTCTAAAATTGATAGAGCTATGGTAACCAGTAGAGCTAAATTAAGTCCCAAACTCATTTATCACAAAGCTGCAGAAATGGCCACGTACCTTGTTGTGTAAGCGAGTAAAGAGGAACCTGAATGCAGAAGTGGATTAAAAACAAAAGAAAAACAAAAAACCAACAAATATCCAGTGAGAAGCTGTCCAGAGTCCAACTGCGGCTCCACGTCACCAGCTGACAAATATTCACATTATCCAAAGAGACTGCAGCGCTGGGGAATGCCACTGGGAGAAACTCTCATTCTCTCTTTAAATTTCATTGCCTGATGCACGAACAACCTTTGTCAGTCCTCCCACATCCTTCATCTCCCCTGTCCAGGGCCCAAAGACCATAGGAGTCAGTGAAAAATTAACAATTACAGAACAGAAAGCTTCTGTTTTCATGCCCTTTTTTTTTTTTTTTTTTTTTTTTTTTTTTTTTTTTTTATCAGGGTGCAACTGCAGCTCTGAAAGAAATACACTGAGAAAAAATACTGAGTCACTACCATGCAACGTGTGCAACCTATTATAAATAGCTCAGCATTCACCCTCATGTTTGTAGAGAAGGATTTTCAAGCAGTAAATTATCTGGTCTAGCTCCTCAGCTCTGTCATAGATTCCCTGTGCTCCAGTAAGTCACACAGCCCTACCATGCACTGAATAAGTGCACCTGCATCGAGGAGTTACTCCAGAGTAACTCAAGTACACAACGCATTACTTTCATCCAGCAACCACAGGAACAGCTGGAAGCATGCACAGTGTGTATACACGTATGCCTTATTTGAGTGCACTTCATTAGGAAAAAAAAGGCTCCTGTTAATATCTTCTTGCTATTTCTGCTCAGTCTGCTCCTTTTCCTGGTAAGTTTACAAACACTGAGCAAAAAAATCAAGTAGCCTTTCTTTATCGCTAGCCAGTAAGAAGTTAATTGGTTTAAAACCATCAAAACTCAGGGTTACCTGGCATCAAGAGGTACGCCTATTGCAACAAAAGTTACAGAATGTAACAGGCCTTGAATAGATGCTGGCCAGAGCATACAGAAAATCAGTGCAGGGAATTAGCTCATTTAAACTGAGCATCAAATCCTATTGCTATAGAGATTACTATTATATACTGATAAGAGTGAAGTTTTAAAAAGTAAAATAAAAATCTACAGTGCAATTTGGGTTGATTCCAGGTTCATTCTCCCCATGGAGGAAAACGCCGGCTCACTGTCAGCATCCCCAAACTCACTTCTGCATCTTGTAAAGCCTTGTGAAAAGTGAGTGCAAAGACACAGCACACTATGGGCAGATCTCCCCTAAAACAACAAAAATGTAGACATCTTGGCCTTCAGAAACAGCACAATGCCACTTGTTTTGTAGTTCCAGTACCTTAATTACATACTCCAACACTGGTTTTCAAACATTTCAGCACAAAAACACGTGTGAAGCACACTGCATACCAAATAGATTTCCTCTCATGAGCTTTCCACAAACACATACAGCATAACACGGTTTACTTCAACAAACCAACCCTCACTTTCTCCCCTGTAAGTTCACCCTCTCCTCCACCCCAACACAGCATTCTGAAGCATTTCACAGCATCAAACACATCTCAAGTCCGCTTTGCGAATCGTTTTGTCTTCTATTCACTCCCATCAAATAGAGCTACTGCAAATGCAAAGAAACAACAGCAGAAAAGTAATGAAAATCGTGAATGTGGCTCTCCTAATGGGATGTAACAGCTGGAACAAAGATCTAACACAGTTGGGAAAGCCATCATTCTCTTTTGCAACTGAGAAAATATGTGAACGGCGATGACATGCTTTTCAAAGCAATACCACAGTGCCTCAGTTACGTCAGAGTAAATCCACTCAGTTTTGAATACAAAGATTATGTCCCTCCAGCTGACAGCCCTGCTAACTCAACCCCAACTGGTCGGACTGTGAGATAACATGCTGACAATGAAGATGCTACAATTGAAATTTAATTAATTCTACTTATGCAAAACCATGGTGAAATTCAACTCATTAATCCAGAGCTGGGTTTGTACAGCTACTTCTTTTAGGTGCAAAAGGAAACTGTTCTGAAAAATCAGGGGAACACCAGCTGAGCACTGAGGTGCCTTTTCACAAACCTTTTAGAGTAATAAATACAGGTATCATTTTAAGAGAGGTAAATAAGGAAATACCATATTGCTGACATGGAAACAGCACATTCCCTTTCTCCATTAAAGAAAAAAACTAAAAACAGAGCAGAACTGTGATATCGCTTCCTTCTCCATTCACAGAAAAGAAAAGATTTTCTCTCTGCCCCTTTTTAGGGCACCTGAAGTACAGAGGGGTATCTCATTTCTAACTCCCACTGTGTACTTCCAATCCCTTCAGCGAGGAAAGGCACAAGCTGTATGTTCACCATCTCTGCATCTCTTCCTCCCAGACCTACAAACACTGAGTACCTGTGGCAGTGTTAGCCAAGCCTGAAAGGCAGGGCTGGGTATCACTTCTCTTCAGATCACTGCAGATTGCTTTCCTGGGGATCACTGATGCAATAAGAACTTCTGCCCCTTCGGAAGATGGCAGGACCACAAGCACAGCATTTTCAGGCCAAGTCTGCTCCTCTCCTCACAAAGCTGAGCCTCATCTTGTGAGGGTATTTTCTGTCTCCCAGTCTGCAAATATACTTGGGACTGCTCTGACCCAAATGCAACACTTTGTGCTTGGTCCTGTTGAACCTTCTCACCTACCTACTTTTAGAGCCTGTTCACATCCCTTTGGATGGCGTTTCTCCCTTCTCTGCTGTCAACTGCACCGCTCAGCTTGGTGTCACCTGCAAACTTGCTGAAGATGTGCTTGTGTCACCCGCATTTTGTGGTTCTTTCATCCCCATAAGTTAAGCAGAAGTGCCAGTACAGTGTTCAGTTCACAGAGACCAGACCAGAGTTGCCACCTGTCATCCTTCCCACACATCCCCTTCTCCAAAGCAGTGCAGCAACCCCAGCCCTGATCTTAGGGCTCCATAGCTCTGAGACACCTCAGCAAGCCCTCCCACACCCATCAGGACACTGTCACTCTCTGCTTCACGCTCATACCCTGAAGCACAGGCAGCCTTCCTGCCCTGTTCTCGTTCCCTGTCACACACCTTGCAGACCCTCCAGCACTCCCAAGCTCTGCAGGGCTATCTGCCTCCCTATAAACATTCCCTGTGGGCTCTGCAGGGACCCAGTCAGTCCCAAGGAACTCACAGCATCATCCTCTATCCACTACCAGGGCAATATTTGTTGCCCTCTTTCTCAATCGTCCCCACACAGACATATTGCTTTATGCTCACACAGACTCCTGAAGCTCCTTTCTCTCTCCTCCCACTCACACAGATCCCTGTGCTCTCTTCGCATATGCATCCTCTCCCCAAAACCAAAACCCCTATATCCTCTCCTGTATACACACACACACACCAACCCTACACAATGCAGACAGAGAAAGGGAGGCAGCAGCCCCATCTCCTCGCTACTTCAAAGCTTAATTACCCCTACATCTACAGTTCTATAGTCCCAACTCCTTGCCCATCTCCCACTAGCCCACAGCCTGACTTCTTCCATCCCCTCACCTCTCAGTTGCCCAAAGACCAACTCCCCAGACACTCAACACGCAGAAGTACCTCACAGGACATCCACCTATGCCCTCAAATTATTGCTTCTATTCTCATAGCTCCCAATACTGCCCTACAGCATTACTCTCCATATCCCACAGCACTGTCCCACAGCCTCCAAACACAGAGTTGCCCTTCCTGTGACCCTAAAGTACCACTACTAGCCCTACGGATCCATCACTCTCCTACAGCTTCCCATCCCCCAACCCCCAGCACTGCCCTACAGCCTCCAACCCCACAGCCATCCTTTCTATGCCCCAAAGTACTGTTCCTAGCCCAGCAGTCCCCCAACACTGCCCTATAACCTCTCACCCCACAGCTGCCCTTCTAATGCCCCCAAAGCATTGCCCATAAAACCTATAGTCCCAAACACTGTCTGAATGCTTTCCTCTCCATGGCTCCTTGCAGCTGTCCCTCCTAAGCATTGCTAAGTACAGCCCCCAGTGCTGTCATACAGCTTTCCTATTCACTACCCTCAGCACTGCCCCACATCTTCCAACCCCACAGTCAGCCCTTCTATGACCCAAAGTGTCACTTCTAGCCCACAGTCCCTAGCACTGCCCCCTACAGCCTTCCACTCTACAGCTGCCCTTTTAATACCTCCAAAGTATTACTCCTACTCCCATACACAAAAACTCTGGCCTACAGTCATCCTCCTCACATCCCCAAGCACTGCCTCTTGGCCTCCAACTGCACATCTGCTTTTCCTATGCCCCCAAAGTATTGCTCATACTCCCACAGTCCCAATACTGCCCTAAAACCTTCCTCCTCACATCTCCCAGTGCTAGCTCTCAGCCTCCAACTGCATACCTGCCTTTGTGCCCCCATAAAATTTCTCACACCCTCTTACACCCAAACACCATCCTACAGCTTTCCTCCCCACAGCCCCTAGCACTGCCCCATACCATAGCTGCTCTTATAAAGCATTGCTCCTTATCCCATAGCCCTCAACACTGCCCTACGGATTTCCTACTCAGAGCCCTCAGAACAGGCCCACAGCTTCCAGCTCCACAGCTGCCCTTACTGTGATCTCAAAGTACTGTTCCTATCTCTACAGCCCTCAGCACTGCCCTACAGCCTCCAAACTCACAACTGCCCATCCTGTGACCCCAAAGTTTTGCTCCTAATCCTGTGGCCCTCATTACTACCTAACAGTTTCCCATCCCATGGCCCCCATTACTACCTCATAGCCTCCAACCACACATACCCTCTACCTGTGCCCCCAAACAATTACCCCTACCCTACAGCTCCCAACACTCCTTATGCTCTGATTCTTATAGCCCCCAGCATTGTCCTATAGCATCCAAACTCACAGCTGCTCTTCCTATGCTCTTAAGCATTGTTCCTACTCTCACACCTCCAACACCACTGTACAGAATTCCTCCCCACAGCCCCCAGCACTACCCCTGAGCATCCAATCATTCCCCTCTACTCTGCTCTTGTAAGGCCCCATCCAGAGTACTGTGTTCAGTCTGGAGTCCCCAGTACAAAAAAGTCAGGGAGCTGTTGGAGAGGGTCCAGAGGAGAGCCACGAAGATGATCAGGGAATTGGAGCACCTCCCCCACAAAGACAGGCTGAGGGAGCTGAGCTTGTTCAGCCTGGAGAAAAGAAGGCTGCTGGATGACCTCACTGCAGCCTTTCAATACCTAAAGGGAGCCTACAAATAGGAAGAGAATCAACTCTTGGAAAGGGTTGATAACTGCAAGACAAGGGGAAATGGTTTTAAGTTGAGGGAGGGAAGATTTAGGTTGGATGTCAGGAGGAAATTCTTTACAGAGAGAGTTGAGAGGTGCTGGAACAGGCTGCCCAGAGAGGTTGTGGATGCCCTGTCCCTAGAACTGTTCAAGGCCAGATTGGATGGGGCCCTGGGCAGCCTGGTCCAGTATTAAATGGGGAGGTTGGTGGCCCTGGCTGTGGCGGGGGGTTGGAGATTCACGATCCTTGAGGTCTCTTCCAACCCTCGCCATTCTGTGATTCTGTAATCACGCATCTGCCTCTCACATAAGCCTACTGTTACAGCCCCCCACACTGCTTTCCTTCCAACCGCCCTCAGCAGTGTCCCACAGCCTCTAAGCCAAGAGCTGCCCTTTCTACACCCCCAAAGAACTGCTTTAATTCCCACAGCTCCCAACACCCTACAGTCTCTAAACCCAGAGGTGCCTTTCCTGTGACCCCACAGCGCTGCTCCTAGCCCTATAGCCCCCATCATCGCCCTACAGCCTCCCACCCCACATCCCAACGCCTGCAAAGTATCTCTCCTACACCCGCACGCTCTCACTCACAGAGCTCGCAGTAGCGGTGGCAGCCCCGGCCCAATCCCTGCAGGTACCGCTGCAGCACATCGGTGAGGAGATCGCAGGCCGAAACCTGCACCGAATCCCAGCCCAACGCCTGACAGATCTGCGCCACCGATACCCGCAGCAGCCACCGCGAGTACGTCTCGCACATGCCGGCTGGGCTCGGCTCCGCTTCGCCCGCGCCCGCCCTGGGCCGGGAGGGCCGCGGGAGGCTCACGCAGGGCCCGCCGCCGCCGCCGCCATCTTGGCGCCGCGCTTCGCCCCGCCCAGCGCCAGGCAACGGCGCTCCAACGCCGATCGCATCGAGCGGAGCCGCCGCGGGGACGGCGGGGCGGGGCGGGGCGCTGAGCTGACCTCAGAGCGGGCGGTTGTGGAGTGGGCTTCGTTGGGAGGTGCGCTGTAAGGCCGCCGTGTTCCTCCTCCTCGTTGCTCGCGTGCAGACTCGCTACACGGAGCACCACGAGGCACAGCTGTCGCTAACGCTGCATCCCGTTAAATTTAGAGCAGCTCCCCGCACTTACGTGCAAGCTGCAGCATTCCCGTGCTGTGAGGAACGCGGATCTGAGAGGAAGCCGATGGAGAGAATCCTTTGATAGCAAAGAGGCTTCTCAAGGACAGGGGAAGGAGCTTGATTTAAGACACTTGAAAACAAAATTGATTTTAGACTGGTAGAGGACATTACTCCCTTGAAGAAAAAAAAAAAAAAAAAAAGTTGATTAGATTACATTCCTCCCCTTTCCAATTTCAGTACTTCCTCCAGTGCCAGAGCCTGCAGTAGGAAGTGAGCAAAACGCCCCAGGATGAGCTAAATAATTCAAGGTGAGTTTGGGGATCTTTTGAGGAGTAGGACCTTGCATGGGTACCTCTGTGCAGGCAAGGATATGAATAACTGCATGTAAGACTAAGATTGCCTTGGTAACCATGTTAAAAACACCACCTTTGGGAACAGAGAGCAAAATTGGAAGAAGTGTGTATGGATACTTGGAGGATCCAGAAACAGAAATGATAGTTATTTAGTGGTGCAGCAGGCAGAGAGGAGCAACACGTCATGCACTAATGGGTGTACGTACGCCAGTCATGTAACTGCCATGCTGAAATTCAGTCATTGTGTGTAACAGGAAAGAGGACAGAACTAAGTAAGAGTGGTGTTTTATTAGAAGTTGGTTAGTTGACTAGTTAGCTTCTTGATTTATTAGGTGATTAGTAGAATGCTGATTAGTCAATCAACAGTCCAGTCTTCTGGATCAGTCCCATCCAAAGCCTGCTGCAGAGCAGGGAGCTGGACCCATGGCAACATCCTGCAATTCGTGTGTTCTTTACTCACTCTTTTCACTACGTTGACAAGCTCTAAGGAACGCTGGCCTCCAAATCTTAGAAACATTTGAGTATTCTAAAAACCTGCAAATACACAGGCCCTTTTTGTAACTGTATTAAGTATCATTAACAGAATTAAGGTTCAAGAACTTGGAAATAACTTCCCTGTAGGCATGCTATTCCTTAGATTCCCCAAAGAAGTATTTAATGTATCATTAGTACAGAAACTTTGATGTGAGCAATTGCTGTATCTGCCACAGCAACTCCAAAGTCAGAGAACATTAGGGCCAAAGCATCTGAATTTCTGTAAAATCAAATGCTTAAGTGTTCTAAATAAAATTGTGCTTAAGGAATTTCAGGCTCATGGCTGCGAATGAGGAATTGCACTGATTGAACAGCACTCGATGCTTATGTTTCCAGGCTAGCTGACTTAGGCATACAACTCAAATCAAGAGCAGCTTGAGTAAGCAGGGGGCTGCTTATACCTGTCTCGGGGGTCAAACTCACAGATGGCTTTGATGTTTACTGCCATATCCATTTTCTTTCCATTTCTGTCTTGTTCATTTTGGAATGCAAACTTCTAGAAACAGTCGTAGTGTTGTGTTCAAGTAAGGTAGATAAGCGTTCCCACTGCATGATTGAGAAAGATTATTTTCCATTCTCCTCTTCAGCACACAGGACAACATATGCAACAAACCACCACTTTTAAACAGTGATAACACAATGAAGACAGAATATCTTTCCCTCTTCAAAAGAAGCTCCTGCTGGCATGCTTTCTGTGCCAGGAATTATAAAATTCAGAGCACAGCCTTAAAAACAACCTACATTTCAAAGAGTAACCAAGTCAAACCCAGATGTACCGACAACCAATAACGTGTTTCATGAAGGAGTTTATTGTAAGAATGTACAGATATTTCTGGGGCTTTGCCACTTCTTCACAAAATAGCAGAGCAGTCTTATTAACGAACACAGGCAAGTTCAATCATACGCTCAGAATTATTCTTCACCTGTAAGGAAAATTGAAGCAAATTAAAATCTTTCAATCAATGCTTCTTTTTAAAATGCATCACCTCTGATTTTAAGTGCTTTAACAATTCATTCTTCCCTACTCCCTCCTCCCCTCCAACTCTCTCTCAAGACTACTTTTATCTGAAACTTTAAATGCTTATTTTGTTACAAACTTTTTTTCAGGTGTAGTGTTTTACAAATAGACATTTTTAAGGTCACAGCCCAATGCCAGGGCACTACGAACAAATGAAGCAATACTTTCAAGTGAATCCAGTAACTCAGAGAATAAAAAACCCACAGAAAACTGCCAAATGCAGATGCACTCTATCACGGACATATTTTGTTTAAGATTTACTGGTGCTTGAATCTGTCCAAACAGAAAGCAATGGCCATTTCCTAGATGTGGGAAGAAGAAATTGTGTCTGACCACTGTTGCTGAATTCCGATTTCCTTATCTGATTTCAAGACTGCACTTAAAAATGGATGCATACAGACAATCTAGTTTCTATTCCATAACTTTACCTCTTGGATTTGGCCAAACCTCTTTTGCTGATTAATCCCTGGTTAAGATGTTATGAGGAAAAAAAAAACAGAACAAGCAGGTTAAGAAGTAACTCATGCAAATTAAGGCAAAACTATGCACGTATTTGTAACTGCATTGTGAGGAGCATAATACAGCTCATAACTGCAACATGTTATGTATTCCAGACATTTTGTAAATGTACAGAATAGTATCAAACATATTTACATCTTTGAGTACAGCACATTTTTAACTGTTAGATGGAATGCACATTATCTACATGAGGTTACAAATTGTGGTCTAAGCCCACACATTTTGTAACCTACAGAACACACAGTTGCAAAACTTCATTCTCAGGAAACGAAGCAATATACTCAGCTTCAACATTTATCATACATATTTCCAGAATCCATTGATGCCAGCTATATTTCTCCTTTCAACCCCAAACTCCTGCACACTATCACAGACTGATTTCTGCAAAGGCATTTCAGTCACCAGAATTGCTCTCTCTGCATCCAAAACTGTTCTACAGCAATGAACTGGGCTGTTTGAGCAGAGTATGAAGAACCCAGGTAAAAGGAGCAGATGGGATATCTACTCAAAACAAATAAGGAGGAAACACTCTCCCTGCTCAGTCAAGGGCATGTGTCAAAGCTGAGGATATAATCAACCAGTTTTTAAAGAATATCTGGTCAAACTTCACACTTGTTAGTAAACTGCCACAAACTAAAAAAGGATAGGAGACATGCCATGGATTGTCCTGCTCCATGCCTTAACATTCCCCATTAACCTGCCTGAAGGAGGGCACAAGCATTACACGACATTGCAACCACTCCTGTTTCATGTGTATACAGGTACTCACAGAGCAGCAGCACCAGAGATGATCTCAATAAGCTCCTTAGTAATAACAGCTTGACGGGTACGGTTGAATGTCAAAGTCAGTTTGTCGATCATCTCAGCTAGGGAAAAATTAAAGTTGGAATTTAAGCATATAATGAGCATTCAAATGCAAGTAAAGGAAGTTCTACGAAGAGAATACCACACAGACTTGTGGATCCATGTGAATGATCAAGCAGCTTATTGCACTTTTCAGTTTTCCCTACTGCTGACAGACAATCTAAGAAGAAGATAATTTAGCTTGAGGCATCAGAATTAAGCATCTGAAAAACAGCCAGACTAGTAAATACCATGGGTAGAATGTTATTCATTTTTAAATTCCAATAATGTTTCTTGCACTGTTAATGTCCCTCAATAACCACAGTATTTCCTTCAAGTTCTGTTCTGGCAAATGGAGCCATTTTTCACTTAATATTTTTTAATGGAGACTTTATCACTACATTCAAGATACAGGGATCAGCAGAGACCCACACTTACAGTTCCAGGTAACCCTACTGCATAGCACATAAGCTTCATTCAGCCACCAGCATTTTTTATGCATCACTATCTTCTTGAAACTGAAGTCGTATCACTATGCCACATTAAACACTATTAGCCCACCAATACCAACCATGTATTCACTGCAGTGCACTCAGTTTGGACACTTCACAAGGTATACTAGCATATTCTCAGCTTGCAAGAAATCAAAATCTGCAGACCAACAACAAGAGAGACATCAGTAGTTGAAATCCTAGAAAATCCAGAGTAGACTTACAAGCATTTTTGCTTGCGTTGTCCATAGCAGTCATCCTAGCGCTCTGCTCACTGGTGGTAGATTCTTTCAGGGAGTAGTATAGAATATTTGCTAGTGTAAATTCCTGGTAGTTTCTCAGCACATCAGCATCAATGTCATCGTAGATGCTCAGGCTTTCTGAAAAACATGAATGAGCAGAGTCAGAACTGCAGGCTGTACTAATTATAACCATACAATGTCACATAGAAAACAGTAAGTTACTTTTTTTTCCCCACTCAGTACATGGTGACAAATCCCTCCACACTGCCTTAGGTGTACTATCATAAATTGTTAATTACCAGAGAGATAATGTATTTTGTGTGTTTTAATTAAGTTTAAAGACCAGGAAATTCGATCCTGACCAGGGCTAAAGGCATTATTGATATATTATATTTAATGCTGCTGTACAATGCTGCACAAACCATCTGAGGTGCTTTTACTGAGAAGAAGCCACTCATTGCTGAAAATGTCGGAAGCAACAATTTTGCACAGGCATAATTCTTGACTGAGAGAAAAGCTCAAAATTAGTACAAGCTCTCCTTCCCCACAGCCCCACGATGTGTCAGCTCTGGACTACATCTTTTAAACTTGTGATACATGCACAATAATGACAATATCATATTCCCAGATGCAGAATATCTTCCCTGTGATTTATTACTTCACCTATCTACTGTTTTCTAGTTCACTGCTTACCAGAACCAGCAACTGTTTCAAAAGAGTAGATAGGTTTTTCATCAGTCTTGTAGGAGATGACAGATCTGAATAAGAAATAGCATAATAGTGTTGGTTTGACTGAAGAACCTAAATTGAGCACTTAATAGCAAATTAGAACACCGACAACTTCTGGCCTTCCAATTCCTCCAAGTCTCGTTATGCTCCTCATGAAGAGATATCAAATACCCTAAGGATATAATAATGTACTGACTGTAAATACAACAGCACACACTATAGAAAGCAAGCTTAGAAACACCACAGAAAAAGAATTTCAACCATATCTATTAAAAATACCCACAGCAAATATGTTCTTCACATATAATAAGAAAATGCACTGACTTTTCAAGAAAATCTGAACACAGACTCAGTTTTCACATTTTACTTAATTCAACCAATATGCTGTTTTCAAATCTTCTATTCAACATCTCCCTAGTGCAGCTTCAGTTTAATCTTACCTGAACCGATTGTAGATGACAGAGCCTTCATCAAATTCATACCCAGAGTTTAATAACTCTGAAGCAATGACTGAAGCATCTCCAAAGCTAGGAGGTCTCCGCCCCACTTCTTTGAATGTCATCAGGAGGTAATTGCCATGCGTCCTGCAGTAACGTGAAATTTGTGTCAGCAGCAAGTTGGTGCTCTAATGTACAACTATGTGGCACCAAGAGGCAAGCAGCAGCAGTAACTGCTAGTGTTCAAGAACAAAGCATTTCGCTGAACTAGAATCTTGGAGAAACTTTAACCTCAGTTAAATTATGATACACCAGAACTCCAGAATGACAAAAGGAGAGGTGTGGTTTTTTTTGTTTGTTTTTTGTTTTGTTTTGTTTTACCTTTGAAGTAGGCCTCTAATCTTGTCGCCCACACCAACCACCATCACTTCCTTCCCTGCATTGGAGAGGTTGGTAATCTCATTCTTCAAGGTTTTAGCAATAGATGTATGGATAGCACCACACAGACCTCGATCAGAGGACACACCGATAAGGAGGTGCTTCTTCTTGTCCTCGGGTGCCTTAATTTCTGCTTTCTCATACAGTGCTGAGAAAAAAAAACAACAAAACAAGATGGGCAAGATATTCACAAGGGTACCAGGAAGCAAATTTGTCCTATCAAAACATCTTTGACTAACTTCAAATTCAATAAATCATTTCCAAAGGGTTTCAAATCACAGCCAGATTTATTTCTATCCCCCTCACAATCATTCAAGTTTGCAGGCTAGCTGACCAGAAGTGACAAAGACGTAATTCCAAGCCACCTGCATCTCTGCATCAGGTATTATAATGAACTTCAACTAAATAATGACACTGACTGCAAGTGCAGTGTTTGAGAAGCATGTGCAGTTCAAGCATTTCAAAGAAGGTTTGGCAGCATCTTTAAACATTACTACCTTACGCCACAGAAATCCAACAGTTTCATGAATAACAGAAAGAAACAGGTCAAAATTGATGTTGCTTTTATGTTTAAAACTACATCCATGCAACCACAAGAAGCTAAAGAAAAAATATCAGACACGGTAATTAATTTCACATCAGCACTCTTACAAATAACTTTTCATCAACTACTTATTAGGAATACTCAAGGTTAACAGTGGCCCAGGGATACAAATGCTTATGAAAAAAATATGCTAAGAGGTTAGAAGTCAACACCATAAAAGCATCCCTCCTTTATTTCCACACCACACAGTGCAAGAGCCTTCACTCACCCAGTGCTCCTGTTCCGTACACTCTAGCAGGCTTCAGCTCCCTCTCAGCTCTTGCATACTTTGCTGCAGAAACCATCTTCATGGACTTCGTAATTTTCTGGATGTTCTTGATGGACTTCAAACGCCTGGTAACTAACAAGGTTAAAAGCTGAAGGTCAAAATTGGGCTATATTGGGCACAAAAGGTTGAAAACAAGAATAAAACATAAGCAACAGCTATCCAGAAATCTCTCCTGAAGTTCCTCAAGGAAGATATAAATAAGCAAGTGATGCACAGATGTAAGATATGCTGTTAGTACTAACACCAGCAAAACTGTACACGTGTATCTTTACAATAACCCAAATGCATCTTTACAATATATTTTTCTTACCATGAATTTTATTTAATATTTACCTCAACATAAGATCCATTTGCTATTCTCTTCCCTACTATTCTACTATTTTCTTCTACATATTTCTCGAATATATAATTTGAGGTATATTGTCAGCTTTTCCTGGATGAAAAAGGAAGGAAAAGCAAAACATAACAAAACCAGTCCTAGTGCTATAGACAAAATAAATGTTGTCCTCTGTTTAGGCTGTGTCCCAAAAATACTAATGCAAAAAGGAAAAAAAACAGGTGCCCTAACAACAAACACAAGCACAAGACAGTATCCCTGCATTAGAACCCCTTAGTAATGACTTAAAGAAGCAACATCAAAGCAGAACCATTCAGTCAAACTTTTTATTCTCCAGTGCTGGGTAAATACAAGAAACTAAGAGCAATGTAAGTTCATTTTTAAATGAACAAAAAATCTGTTTCTGTTTCAGCACACTTGATGAAGTTAATTTTAAAACATTTGAACAGGGCTTGGTTTGCTTACATGGCATCAAAGAATCAAACAACTTGAAGAAATGCTTTTTATCAATCAGAGAACCACAGAATGGCCAGGGTTGGAAGGGACCTCAAGGATCATGAAGCTCCAATCCCCCTGCCACAGGCAGGGCCACCAGTCTCCACATTTAATACCAGACCAGGCTGCCCAGGGCCCCATCCAACCTGGCCTTGAACACCTCCAGGGACAGGGCATCCACAACCTCTCTGGGCAGCTGTTCCAGCACCTCTCCACTCTCACAGTAAAGAATTTGCCCCAAAGGGGAGAATTTTATGAAGGACACTTGTTTCATACAAGTGCCAGAGGCTCATATGGCAGTGTTACACTCCACAACAATCACTTCATCCAACAGAAGCCAAGTGAAATCATGCTTAAACCTAACGCTTCCATACATTTTCCTTCTGTAAAAAGCAGACAAAAGCACACTTACTGTCTTTCAGAGTTGCCATGTTCCTGACTTGGCCCCTGGAAGTGAAAGCAGGAGAAATTAGGAGAGATCATCAGCTCTCCAGCAGACAAACACCAGTCAAGGTCAGATCTCTTCAGAGAGATGAACACATAGGAACACTCATTTCTTAGTAAGGACACTTCACATCAGGCCTTGTAACAAAGCTTTCACACTCCCCCTTGTGCCCGTGTGACTGACAAATACAGGGAAAACAAAGCAGGGCATCAGAAGGGCAAGATCCCTAGAAGAACACAGTTGTTTTTTTTTCTTTTTAGACGATTAAAACAACGAAGCAGCGGAGCTGCCAGCACCCAGCAGGACGTCCTTGCAGCGCCAGCCACCCGCACGGCTCTCCGCTCCCTCACCCGCTCAGCCCCGAACGCCACACAGCGCCCTTCCCCTCAACGCCCATCGCCACCTCCAACCATCCTGACCGCTCAGCCTCGGGCCCGCAAAGCGGAAAAGGACGGAGAGCCCTCCATCTCACCGCCTCCCCCCGCTCCTCCACGAACGGAGGCCCCCAACCCCTCACAGGCACGACCCGGCACAGCCCCAGCCCGCTCGGGGCTCCGTCCGTTACCATTGCGGCTGGTACAGCAGGACGGCGGAGCCCCGCGCGAACATGGCGGCGCCTGCAGCACAGCTCCGCTGAAGGTCAGCGCGCCCGCCCCGCGCATGCGCGCAGCGCCGCGGGGATTGCTTCCGAGGGCGCTCCGCCGCATCCGGGAACGAGAAAGTAAGGGGTGAAGGGAGGTGGGAGAGAGAGCCATGGGGAAGTCGGATTTCCTCAGCCCGAAGGCTATCGCTAACCGCATCAAATCCAAAGGGTTGCAGAAGCTGCGCTGGTACTGCCAGATGTGCCAGAAGCAGTGCCGCGATGAGGTGAGGCTGGCGGGGCGCGGAGCGGCGCGGTGTTTGGCGCGCGGTCCCCGGCTTTGGGGTCCTCCGTAATCACAGAATGGCCAGGGCTGGAAGAGACCTCAAGGATCGTGAATCTCCAACCCCCCGCCACAGTCAGGGCCAACAACCTCCACAATTTAATACTAGACCAGGCTGCCCAGGGCCCCATCCAATCTGGCCTTGAGCCCTTCTAGGGAAAGGGCATCCACAGCCTCTCTGGGCAGCCTGTTCCAGCACCTCACTCTCTCTGTAAAGAGCTTCCTTCCCCCTGACATCCAACCTAAATCTTCCCTCCCTCGATCTCAAACCATTTCCCCTTGTCCTGCAGTTATCTACCCTTTCCAAGAGTTGGTTCCCTTCCTGTCTGTAGGCTCCCTTTAGGTACGAAAGGCTGCAATGAGGTCACCCAGCAGCCTTCTTTTCTCCAGGCTGAACAAGCTCAGCTCCCTCAGCCTGTCTTCGTAGGGGAGGTAATGTGTGCCAAGCATACTGTGTGGGGTGGGTATGAGCCAAGTGCAGCACCCGGCTCTTGGTCTTCTTAACGCTCATCCTATTGGTCTCAGCTCATCCATCCAGCCTGTCCAGATCCCTCTGTAAGGCCTCTCACTTCAAGGATGTATCCAGACCTCACATTCTGGGGGTCTGAGACCAGCGATTTGCTTTCAGGCAGCATTGGAGAGGACTCTCATGCTTCCTTGGGGTATTCCTGGTCCCTCATGTATGATGGGAAGAGCTGAGTGGGACCTGAGGGCTTCCAAAACCACCTGGTGCGTGGCGGGGGGGCTGAAACTAGATGATTTTTGAGGTCCTTTTCAACCCAGACCGTTCTATGATTCTATATATTTTGCTGGAATCCCACTCCTGTGGGAGAAGTGTTTTGGAGAAAGTATGATGGTCCTGAGCTTTCTCCAGGGATGTTCAACCCACGATGATGACTGATCAGCCTTGAAAGGGCAGCAGGGTTAGGAATTATTCCATCAGGAGTTTGGGGCAGTTGTGATTTCTCCTGGGAACAAGGTGGGTTCTGGGGCATGCCCCAGGGCTTGCATGTCTGGAGCACAGCAAGGTCTCTTTTCCATCCTTCTGATTCTGTTTCTTCCCAGCTTCTCCTGTTAAGAGATGGTTTTCTGTGATGCTTCCCCTTGTTTTCACTTCTCTGTTCACTTGAACCCAGATGCCCATGGAATTATGAGGGTCCTATTCCTTCTTATTTTCACCAGAGCTGTGCTTCTGGAGAGTACCTCCACTTGGGATAACTGTGCTTCTGGTTTTTCATTCTACAAGAATAAAGCTTTTAACGTGCTTTTAGAAGAGAAATGTTGCTTCCAAGGAATCTTATTTGTGTTCTTCATCTGCTGCCCTTTTCCTTTCTCCCAAAGAGATTAAATCTTTTCTCAGAAATTACAGCAACAAAGCATCATACCTTTACAGCCACATCTTTTCGTAGTGGTGTGGGGATCCCATGGAAAGAAGTTTGCTGTAAATTTAATTATGTTATGATGAGAGAGTATTATATTAGGTTAAAAAAAAAAGAAAAAAAAAAGGATATGGCCAAACCTCCAACATCTGAGTACATTTTGCGAAGCTGTCATGACTTTGTCCCTGTATCAGAGGTGGCCAAACTTTTGTAATCCATAGCTTGGCCACTCCTAGGATGCCATCCTCTCATTACGTATGATGTCAGTATTGGCCAGATAGGGAATCAGCAAGAATTTCCACTTCTTTTGCATGTGTACCTGAATAGATGGTCCTGCATGGAGCAGGTGGTGCCACATCTACCCCGTTCCACAAGGGAGCAAGAGACTTCTGTTATGTCCTAGTCAGGAGGAATAGCCAACCTGTGCTGCTAGACTGTGGTTGGGTTAGAGTGTTTTGTGTGAAGCCTCTAAGAGATTTCACTTAGAAAACATCATTTTAAGTTACTTCTAAAGCTGTATGTTGCAAATTGAGACAAAAGCAGATAAAATATTTATCTTTATTTTCTAGAATGGCTTCAAATGTCATTGCATGTCTGAATCTCACCAAAGGCAATTACTTCTGGCTTCTGAAAATCCTCAGCAATTCTTGAACTACTTTTCTGAGTAAGTTTGCTATATATTCTTATCCATGTGTCAGATCTGCATGGCTGTACCTCTAAAGCCCTGTTACGTCCCATTGAAGATACTTTATTCTGATGAATTTTAGTGTCAGCTGTTTTATATAGTGGCTATGTGAAAAGTTTGCTTTTGAAAGCATGTAGGTTTAAGGGAGCCGTGATGTTTAAAATTTGACAGTTTTACCTCATTTAACTTTTTTTTTAACCCCAAATGTGGCAATTTTTACCTCAAATTCTTCTTTTTATCCCAAATTTGATAATTTTATTCCATGTCTGAGTCCTGTTTTAATTTGCTCTTCACTATGAAGTATGTCACTGCTGTGTCTCAGCTGAGTGACTGTCAGAGCTGCAGAATTACAGACAGCTAAAGAACCATCACATGGAGATAAGAAGTCAGCAGAATGAGTAGAGTCCCACTGTTCCCCTGATCCCTTTGTCCACCTGACCTACCTGACAGCAGGGCTGACTGGAACTGTCTTCAGTGTGAGTCTGAAGGGAGGCTTTATCTTTAAGCCATTGAATTAGCAGGGAGATGAGTGATCCATCTACCCAGTCTACCACTGCTTCCCTTTGTTCTGCCTCGTGTTTTGTGTCAGTGTTTGTCAACCTTGGGAGATACCTGGTAATGAAATACCAGCAATTAGTGGGAAGCGTTTAGAGTTCATTCTTCCCATTTTATCCCTTTGAAAGGGTATTATCCTTTGGAAGATTAAACTTGTATGTGCATGTACCATACTGTGTTTCTTTGTGTGTACAGACTGCACTTCACGCTGTATTACTGAAGATGGGAAACAGGTGTCTGAGTTTCACCGTGCTCTGTTCAAAAGAATACTCCTGTTTATGCTGCAGATATTTCATTATTATTGACAGTAGAACATTTCTTTGTAATTGTATAAGTTTTGTTAAGATACTTTTCTTTATATCCCCTAAGGGAATTCCGAAATGATTTCCTAGAGCTGCTCAGGAGACGATTTGGTAAATATTTTACTGTTTTTCTTTTTTTTTTTTTGCTTTTAATGCCTTTTGGTTCTGTGCAAGAAGTTTTGGTAGGTTTCTCCTGGGTCCCTTACTTACATTTAATGATAACTCTGTTTTAGGAACAAAGAGAGTCCACAATAATATCGTGTACAATGAATATATCAGTCACCGAGAACACATCCACATGAATGCAACGCAGTGGGAGACACTGACTGATTTTACAAAATGGTTGGGTAGAGAAGGTAAATACTGTTGTTCTGGGTTATGGCATTTTAAAACTATTAGGTAATTGCGTTGCTGATGAGTAATCAGTAAGCATTTATGTTAATTCTCCTATTTCCTTTTTTCCCTTACCCTTCCCTCCTGCATTTATGTTAACACGTGTCCAAATAGATTTCTAAGGAAATCCCATTTCTAAGCAATGGGATTTCCTTATGAAAAGTGGCAGACATCTGGGATAAATGCATCACTTACAAACCTTTCCTTGTTTTACCTGTAGTTACTGCATCTGTTGTTGAATTCTAAGTCAAATTCCAACAGTTATCATTTAAAAAGTATAAACTATGGTAGGACATTTCTTACAACTGCAGAATCCCTTAGTATTTGTGGTGACAAGAAGTAGTATTTTATTTTCATTTCTGTCCTAATGAAAGGGTTCAAATCTGAGATCTGCAGTTTTGTGTTCCATGGGAGGAGCAGAGGTTATGTCATACCACAGTGCTGTGTAAGGTTTAAATTGGTTGCAATTGCCTGTGTGCTACAGGATACATTAATGAGTCATAGAGTGTTTGAAAACTCACTCTAATGAGTGCCAGTAACAATAATGTAGCACAGTAAAGTTTTCTATAGTTTGATGCTATTACTATGCAGTGTTTATATATGTTAGAGTGCTGTTTTCTTCCTTGTTGAAACAATGGGAAGGAAATGTTTTCGTCAATAAGGAAAGTGATACCAAACGTTCCATCCACTCTTGATACATATTTTGGCCCATTTCCAAATACAACCAGCTAGCTGAAGGGTATAAATGGTTACTAAAGGTAATTTAAAGTCTATTTTAGAAGCCTGTAAGAGATACATTGTAAAGGTACATCTGCTAAAGTTTTTAGGTTCTTGCAGTGAATGTGTCCTGGGAAAATGATCTGTCTTGATGTTTTCTTTGTTACTTTCTTGTTTTTGTTAGTATTAATTTTATTGTGTCTTGTGTTGGGTCTTTAGGTCTTTGTAAGGTTGATGAGACTCCAAAAGGCTGGTATATCCAGTACATTGACAGGGACCCAGAGACCATTCGCAGGCAACAAGAACAAGAAAGAAAGAAGAAACAAGACCTTGATGATGAAGAAAAAACAGCGAAATTCATTGAACAGCAAGTTAGAAGAGGTTTGGAGGGGAAAGAACTGGTGAGGAAAGTTATATATCAACCTGCAGCTCAAAAGTCCTCTCAATTAAGTTAATGCTCCTATGGTCTTTCCACTACTGTTTCCATTGCAGCCAGCTAGAAGGTGATGAGTAATCTTCATGCAGTGGGTTGCGAGCTGATTGCTAGTTCGAACTGGGGAACAGTGGGTATATGTGGCTGCATGGTTGGTTGTTTCTAAACTGGGAAGTATTCTTCTCACAGGTAATTCTCATGCCCGCTTTGCCTACCTTGTTTCAGTTGAAATTGCTGCTTGTTACTTTTCCTCAAATAACCAACCCGATGCTTTTTACAGCAGATAAACATCAGGGTCCTCTTTGGAATCAGTTTCAGAAAAGAAAAGCAGAGGTTTCAGCTCCTGTTAGATTTTGTGCTGTATTGAAACTTATTGGAACTGTTCCACATGACTGACTGTATCTAGTCCTAGCCATTTCAGAGTTTGATTTAATCTGTCTTCTCCCCTGCCTAAATCACCACATCACTTCACTTTTGTTCTGAATTTTCTGTTAAGCATTTATGAAAGATGATAACTTACTCTGGAGGAAGACTTGGAGTTGCTTTGTACCTGGCTTACTTTTCTACTAAATGAGTGTTAGTTTTCCTAGCAATTTTAAAATACTGAATTCAAGATAGGAGGCTAAACAGTAACCAGTGGTGTCCTCGTTTATCATATTTCTCAAACTTTTAGGGCTGCAAATAACAAGTATGGTAGGGAGGCTAAGATTACCAGGAAAGCTGAAATAATTAAATCCCCACATGAAAAGCTTTTATTCTGGTAGTCCTGACAAGGAATTTGAGAACTTCTTTGGCATTATCCTTTGACTTCCATGCACGTTGTTGCCTGGGATTGGGACCTCCCATTTGATTCTGGGTATTGATAGATATATTTAAATGCTGTTGTAAACTATTATCTTTTTCTTAATTTAAAACTAATTGAAATTTAAATGGTCTGAGCCTTTGGTACTAAAAATTTGGAAAGATTCCATGATTTTTCCTTTTTTAGATTATCAGTTTGTCCAAAAACCAGTCTAATCATGCTTGTTCAAAATGAGAAAACTTGCAGTAAGGCCACTTTCCTTTGATGCTGAAATTAAACAAGTACAGACAGCATCTCTGTAGAGAGTGTTAATTAGATAATTTTGCACAGGAGCCTATAATGAGAAACTGTTTTCAATTTATAATCTTATAAATCAAGCCAGACTGAATATTACATTTATTAGATAATCTTACTGTCGTCAATAAAATCCAGGCAATCAGCGATCACTGAAAAATGTTATCCTGGCTCAGCTATCTGTTTTGCTCTTGAGATCTATTAAGTTTTCTTTTGGCAGGAGGAGCCAGTCTATACTGAACTGAACAGAGAAAATGAAGAAGAAAAAGGTAACCAGCTTTTGATACATGCTGTTTTCTTGAGCTGAAGCTGATTTCATGATTAAAATGAAATATGTGCTGAAGTTTGCTCAGTGTTTCATAGAGTGCTTTGAGGCGAGTTTCAGAAAGCACTGAAAATAGGAAAAGGCAGAGAATTTCTTGCCATTTTTGAAATAGTTTATTTTGAAAGCTGAACCGTAACGTAAAATAGTAAGTATTTTTAAATGTACAATCTTCTCCATTATCAGATTGTTAAATTGTAGCATCTTTTTTTTTTTTTAAAGTTGCATTTAATTTAAATAAAGGAGCAAGTACTTCAGTAGCAGCATCTTCAAAAACCAGGTGAGAAAATTGTTTGAAGGTAACTCTTGCTTTTCATGTCAGTGGTATTTGTATGTGAAGGAAGATGTATCTTATCCTGCAATATTTGTAGTCTACTGTCTCATCCTCATGTTATTCAGAAGGAGATCCTAGGTGATGTTGTGGTTCCTCTTGTATTTTAAATGGATGAATGTTTATATCTTAAATATGTGCTGTGAGCAGCCTTCTTGAATCCTCTATGGTTCATACATGACAGATGCCCAGAAATGAATAGGGAGTGATAGTTTCCTCTGGGAAGAGATAGGTAAGAGAAAGGGAGGATAGGAGATCTAACTGAAGCATTTAAAGTGTATGCCATCAAGTCCCAGCTGCCTTCTGTGAATGGATATTCATGACTTTATAATTTCAGTTCCTAAGAGGTTTGTCTAATTGGAGGTAATATTTTCTCTGATCATCCTTAAAGGAGCTGAATCTACCTGATGTCAATCTTTGCAAAGCTCATGAATTTAATTGTCATATAACCACAAGCAACACAGGAAAAGGGGATCAATAATGCAAACAACACTTACAGAAGTCAGTGAAACTGATGAGTAGTACATCTTTTCTTGTAAGGCAATATTGTAATTAAATGCACTGCAAGTAAAGTGAAAGCTTGCTTCTCATCACAAGCTTAGCTTTTAGATAAGATATCTGATGGGATGTATGCCAGGCAGAAAACGAGACAATAAAGTAGTTCTTTGCAATAAGAGAGACAGATTTCAGGCTTTGAGGAATACTTGTAAATTATTCCTGAGCTTTGAGTTGCGCTTAAGATGAGCCTGAACTTAGCACAGGCACTCACTTGACTAGTTTCAGTGAGGAATACTTAGATCTATTTTTTAAGGTGCTTGCAAAAATTTGTCTGAATGTGGGATCAGGTATCAAGAGGTCCAACTTTTTTGTAGCCTATGATAGATACTTGTGTGTAAAATTTGTAATGGTAGTGTAGAAGCAAACTTTGGATATCTGCCTCACACTAAAGTGACCAGCCTGTGGTTTTTCCTTCACTGGTGGTTCTGGAGTCACTTCAGTGTCGTATATGGAAACTGCTCCCCAATGTCAGTGTAAAAGTGTGTTCTGCCTCTCTGAGACACATTGGCTATGGCTGTTATTATATGGCTTGTTTGAGTTCAACCTGATACCACATGGTGCAGCGTGTTGCAGGGTTTCCTTGTTTCCCAACCTCTCTGCTCACTGCAGGTGTTGCAGAATCTTGGCCAGGATTCCCTCTTGCATTTCTTGATCAGGGTGCAGAAATTTGGACAAAGAGACCATAGGATGTGATTGCTAGGGTTGAGTTTGACTCTTTCATGGTTGGTCCACATTATTAGTTGTCATTGTAGTCGGACCCTTCTCTGCTGTTACTGATCTTAGACAGTGATGAGTTCCCTGTGGACAGAATCTAATCAAAGTAAACTTTTCTAAAGTATGTGAGCTTGCATAATGTGCTGTTTAGTTTTGTTTTCTGTAAACCACAGATTTCAAGGTAAACCAGTCCTTTCTTGTGCCCAGTTCTTTCTTGTGTCCTCTGTACTGATGACATACCTGAGCTGTGCTGGTTGTCTCTGTCCCAGGGTCCCTAATGCATATGTTAAGTAAGATTCATTTTAGTACTGACACCTGGGAATCCCTTGGTAACCTCACAGGTATCTATGTTTTCCTTCTTTAGTGTCATCTTCTTTAATGCCAGGCTTTAATTATGTCATTTATGAGATTTTATTTATGTATTTGCTGCTGGATGTGTGATTTCTTCTGGAACTCTGTACAGACATTATCCTGCCTTCCTCTGAAATACAATTATTTTCCTCTCACGTTTGTTTCTATTGCCCTATTTGTAACTCACTCCCATTATACATCTCCCTTCACTAGCATATCCAAAATCCTCACCACAGAACACAGTCAGAACATGAGAATCATTCTAAGGCCTTCATAAAATTATCTCACAGCAGCCTTCTTCAACTTTCTGGATGAGAAAACACCTACAATTTTTACTGCATCTGCATGGCTTTTATAAAAATTGGCAAACTCAGACTGCCTTCAGACAGTTCTCGCTTTACCCAGGTGTTCCCCAATCCCTAAGATGTAAGTTTTGTACTAATTGCTCTTTCCTTTTGTAACTCATGGGCTATTTGCCTGTTTTGTATGTGATGGTGAAGGTAATGTTTATTTTCTGGGGGTGGGAGGATTTCCAGGTCTCAGGTATGTTGGAGACTTGCTCAGTTCTCAGTTTCTCTAAAGCTACAGGATTGCTCATTTTGATTCAAATATTTAAAACAAACTTGAAAATCTTACGTGCAGACTTTTTTTTGTCTCTAGCACTTAACTCAAGTCTCCAATCAGCTCTTAGCTTTTGCACTGGTGAATTGACCATTAGATTGTTTTTGTTCTGCTGGACTGATGGCAGCAAGCATCAGTGGGCATGGAATTTACACCTCAAGGAGATCAGTTCTAGCTGCAAAGCACACTCCTAAAAAAGGGTAGCATGTGAGGTCTGGAAGGTGATTTGCACAACTGAAATCAAATAGATCAGCAGGCCTTTTGGTACAACCAGTTCTTCAAATGCATCTTGGTAGAGAAGATAATTTGAGGTCTGCTGTGAAAACGCCGTCTTGCTCTTCCAGTAGCATCCTTGGACCAAGTGCACTGAAGATGGCAGAAGGAGCAGTTAAAAGAAAAGAATCAGCTCATAGCTCTGGTCAGTCCAAAGAGAAAAAGAAGAAATCTGCACTGGATGAGATTATGGAGGTAACGATTGTGCAAGGATTTCTGTCTTTATAATCCCATGCCTGTGGCAGTCAGTCTGCTTTTCCAGGGCTTCCCTTTGAAACAATCTCAGACCTCCAGTTCTTGTGCAATTCAGACTTTCATGTCTTTCTGGACAAAATTATATCACTTCCCATTTAAAATTGGTTTCTGCTGCTCATCTGTGTCTATTAACCTTGACTAGTCCAAATATTGGAAGTAAAGGAATACAGATTTTGAACGAAAAGAAAATACCTAGAATCACTTGACAAAAATAAACGTAAATCTCCCATCATTTTATCATGGATTCCTAGATCTTACCAGATTGATTTCTGTGCAGAAAACACACCCTGACCTACCCTTCTTGGCTTTTTCCCTCAACCTGATGTGGGTCTGGAGAATTTGTTCAGATTTTTGAAGGCATGGGAAGGCTGCAGTGAAGGGAGAAAATAAATGATACTTATTTGTTGTTCTGTAGATTGAAGAAGAGAAGAAAAGAACATCTCGAACAGACTACTGGTTGCAGCCAGTAAGTATCTCAGAAGTTGTGATATACAACCAATTCTGCAGTCTGCAGTTGCTAGTGATTGAGTTATGTAAAGATCCTGAAGCAGATCCCAAGCTTATTTCACTCATTTTCCAAGCTGCCAAATGTGAAAAATTACTTCATCTGGTGGTTGGGGTTAGAGTGACTTCAGCATGTAATCACTGTGTAGTCGCTTGTGTATTTTAGAATGTTAATCTTTTTTTTCTTCCTTTCAAATTGTCTAGGAAATCATTGTAAAAATTGTCACAAAGAAGCTTGGAGAGAAGTATCACAAGAAGAAGGCAGTTGTTAAGGTAAAGTGTGCAGATGGAAGCAGATGACTTCCAGAGTCAGAATTGTGCTCAGCCTTAAGTCTACACTGAAAGGAGCTGTGATGTAAATTTACTGGGACTTTCTGTGTGTGTCTGTTTTTGTCCTGTGCAGCTTATCCTATTAACATATCCACAATGAGTAATAATCATTTTTTCAGTGTGACGTGACCAAGAGCTGTGCAGTTGTATTTTGATTTGAGACTAGTCAGTGTTGCACAAATCTTTGTGCTGCTTACTGCCTTTGAGCAAGATCCTGTTTGTGTACAAAATCTTCAGTCTGTAAGCCTTGTTCTGTAGTTCAGATGTGGTTTCTTTTAGCCACTGCCGGTGAAATGATGTTGTACCAGGTAGTCCAAGGCTCAACAGTCTCTGGCAAGAGTGCAGAAGACAACATCTAGGTGTGTTTTGAATGACTGACAGCAGTGCATAGAACCCAAAATCACAGCTTTTTTGGCAAGTATCTGAGCAGGTTATGAGTTCTAGTGGCTGTCTTTCACTGAGCTGTAAATCTGGGAGGTTGGACATGCTAGGTGCAAAGATGATCAGTGACATTTTTCCTCGTTGAGAGGCCTTATTCCAGTTCTCCCTGTGTGATTTCAAGCTAGTTTATCCTCCCATGAGGGAAAGAAGCCTCTAATTTGCTCTCTGAATTTGAGAGGATAGCTAAGATAACTGATCTGAAGGTTGACAAAACCTCCAGACAACACTAGTAGCATTAGTGGTCTTAGTTTACAAGGAAGATCAGTCATTGATTTTTAAGAAGAGCCCCCTTAATCTAGCCTTAACTTCAGAGTAGGGTCAGCCAGCACTTTGTGGAGACTGGATGCCTTTAGGGCAGCTCAGAAGTCCTCATTGCTTTTGAAAGCATTCAAGTGTATTCCTGACTTGTTAATTTTGAACATGTAAATTTAGAGAATTATTTTTTATATTATAGTCACTGATTGGCCTCTACCTTTTACAATAGGAGGTGATTGACAAATATACAGCAGTTGTGAAAATGATTGATTCTGGAGACAAACTGAAGCTTGATCAGACACATCTGGAAACTGTAATACCAGCACCAGGTATGGCTGTTTGTGTTCATTATTTTTCAGCTTAGCTGTCACAGCATAACTTAAATTTAAGTTCTTTTAAACTGTAAAACATCCACTTGAAACTACCTTAACAGTAGCTGTGTTGTTCTTGGGACAGCATTTCATAACCTAGTCTGGTCACTCACCATCTATATTCTGGTTACTTTCTGGGGAAATATTGCATTGTTTCTTCTTTGAGTCTGCACAATCTCTTCTTGTAAGAATATTATCTTCTAAGAAAATAGAAGTGCTTCATGATTTGACTACATGAAAGCATCTCTCTTCAGCTGCCAGGAAGCCTCTCAGGGAGCACTCCGTAGCTCTTAGTCATGTTTATCCGGTGTCTTCCTTCCAAATCATGCCTCAAATAGCTGTAGGTACTTGGCAAAACATAACTCTTGTTTGATTCCCTTGTATTTCTTTGATTGTAGCATACTAAGGTTTCTGAGTAGCATCTGATCAGCATTTCAGGGAACATTCAGGGTAGCAGTAAGCAGAGCACTGTCAGCACAGAGAGAAAGGAGATGTAGGATCTTGAGATTTTTCATCAGATGTGCTCCATTCTGCATCTTCAACTGGTGAATAGCCAGTTGATGGAGGCACAACAGTACAGGTGAGCTTTGCCCACACTTACACTAGAATTGATGCCCTACAGAACTGCCCAGGTGAGACAGAAGAAAGAAAGAAAGTGCACTGAGCAATTAGTGTATGGAATAGGACATGAGGGAAGTAACTTTGACTTCTTTGACACTGTCCCACACGCCATCCTGGGAGCCAAATTGGAGGAAAATGGATTTAATGGGTGGGCCACTCACTGGATAAGGAATTGGCTGAACGGCTGCTCAGAGAGGTGCGGTCAGTGGCTGAATGTCCATGTGGAGACTGATGATGAGTGGCACTCCTCAGGGATCAGTGCAGGGTCTGGTGCTTTTTAACATCTTTGTGGACAGTGGGATCGAGTGCAACCTCAGCGAGTTTGGACAGGCTGAGAGAGCTGGGGCTCTTCAACCTGGAGAAGGCTCCAAGGGGAACTCATAGCAGCCTTCCAGTAGCTGAGGGGGGCCGACGGGAGCTGGGGAGGGACCTTTTGTAAGGGCAGGTAGAGTGAGGGGATATTGCTTTAAACTGGAAGAGTGCAGATTTAGAGTAAATATTAGGAAGAAATTCTTTACTGTGAGGGTTTTGAGGCACTGGAACAGGATGCCCAGCAAGGTTGTGGATGCCCCCTCCCTGGAAGCACTCAAGGTCAGGCTGCGTGGGGCTTTGAGCTTCCTGATCTAGAGGGAAGTATCCCTGCCTGTAGCAGGGGGGTTGGAACTGGATGATCTTAAAGGTCTCTTCCAACCCAAACCATTCTACGATTCTATGATTTTTCCCTGATGTAGTTTGAGTGGCTTCTGCTGTAGTGCCAGCATAGCCTAGAGTGTAGAGAGTAAACTTCATTGTACTTTGTAAGTGGGCAGGGTGTGAGGCAGAGCTGGGAATCGCTGGGGGCTTGAAGAGAAACTTCTCCCTCAGCTGTCATTGAAGTTGAACACAACTCCATCAAGGGAAATTTTTCCTATTTCTCATTTCAGGCAAGAAAGTTATGGTATTAAATGGTGGTTACAGGGGAAACGAAGGCATCTTGGAATCTATCAATGAGAAGAAATTTTCAGCAACAATCATCATTGACTCTGTAAGTATAAAAAAGAACTGAAAGATCTATTTTGCATACAGCACTTTTCATCTGTATGCTGTAGAGCTTTCACAAAGAAAGATGCTACCATTAATCCTGTTTTACAGGTGGGATTTATAGTACAAAATGCTGTTCTCAGCCACTTATTTCCAACCAGCAGGAGAACAGTTGCTTGTTCTCTGCTGCAGACTAGTGCTGTGCTGTTTGCCTCTTGAAATACGCCAAGATGCTGAATCTGGCGAGTTTTTAACTTGAAAGGGACTAGCAAAATATTCTGTGTGTTTATTTTGAATATAGCTGTAGTTGCACTATTTTGTGGGAAGGTAAAAAATGTGAAAAATGCATGAGGTAATTTTTCTCCTCCCTTTACTAGACTGAACATAGGGCTCTATATTCTTATCCATTGTCGTGTTTGTAACTAACAATTACATTACTGGTTTGGGTGTTTTTTGTTAGTTTCTGTATTTGTTTGTTTTGTTTGTCTCACCTTTCTCTGGGCTAAAATTGGTCCATATGAACACCTTCGTGTCTGTGGCTTTTTTTGCTCTGCAAAATTGTCTTTAAATTCACTGGTACAAGTAGGGATAGTGCTGTCTTAAAGACAAATTTCTCAAACACAGCTTGCTGGGGAGAGGCTCTCTTAGGATTCCATTCAAAGAAGAGCTACAGAAACTCAGAGAATTTATTTGAAGAGAGATTGTGAAGGTATCCTAAACACAGAAGGAGGTTTGATTGGAGCCAAGGCTCATGATACGTTGGTCTTGAAAGCAAGGCTCTTTTTTCTCTCGTTTTGATGCACTTAGATATAGAGGTTACCTCCTTCGACATGAACTCCAAATCTATAAATGAAAAACAGTAGAAACCACCCAGAACACAAAATTCTGTAGTTTTTTGAAAGCATTCTGCTACGTATCCCCTGTGCAATAGGCAGCATGCACTTGTATGTGGCTTTTGGACAGAACTCTTAAACAGAAAATTAGCTGTTGTGCTTTTACTGTGCACTGTAATACTGCTAATGCCTGAGATATCTAGTACTGTTCACTTCACTCCTGCTCCTTAGAAAATGCTAAATGTGGCAAGATTTGGTACAGCCCCTTCAGCTATGTTACTTTAAGTTCTCTGTTGGGAAATGCAACAAACAAGTTTGTATTTTGATTTTACTTTTTACAATCTGTTCTTTTCCAGGGGCCTTTGAAAGGACGCCGAGTTGAAGGGATCCAGTATGAAGACATTTCCAAACTTGCCTGAGGTGCTCATTATGGATCAGAGGAGATTTGGGTTCCTCAGACCATCTTTCTGGCTTCTTGTGGGCAGACACAGGAGACTCGGCTATGTCAGGGTTTTAACTTTGTGTGTATATGTATCTATAATGTATATAGAGAATAACCAAGAGCAAATTGAATTTATTTAAAGATCACTGTAGATTTGTTACATAAAATGTTTGTGGAAATCTTAATGGTGGAAATACTCCATCTGATCCTTTCTCAAAGTTTTTTTAATAATTTTTCAGTCTCATTTTGCAAAATACAGCAGCTGCAAGTTGGAGTATTTTCTTTACTGAAGTATGTGTGAAGTTTTGTAGGGCAGAGAACTGTCCACAACAGCTGCTTGAGGCAGGCAATGTGTGTTGAGGCCAATGGATTTTAAACAGCAGACTTCTCAATTTGCAGCCAAAACTGAGTTCTGGCTGGAGGAACAAGGGAAAGGATTAAGAGAATAGCAGAAGGTAACAGGGATTCTTCTCCTGGATTTTGTAAGAAGGGTCTGCCTTAGTAAGTGTTGTCACCAAGTTATTTTTAGTTAACTTATCAGCTGTAGTAGAATCCACATAATTAGACTTCCATCGCCTCGTTCTCAGGGCTCCTGATAATGCTCATACACAATTTGTCTGCTTATGGGCTCCAAGATGGATGTTACTGTGGGGCTTCTAGCATTCCTGCCTAAGTCTGTGCAGATATGAACTGGCAATTGCTGTTCTGGTTTTCCAGAGCATTTTCCCTTGTCCATAGTTCCATTGTTTTCCCCTGCACTGCTGTGGATGCTAAATGAGTAACATTACTTTTTAATTTTTTAAAAAATGTCACATTTTATACAGTATTTTATTTTTAAGGAATGTTCAGGAATAAACATAAACTTATCTTAGGCCAGAGCTTTCCTAACCAGTCTTTTAAACAGCGCTCTGTTCTTTTATGTCCACTGAACAGCACAGTAAAATGGCCAACTGGTGTAACTGCCTTATTTTTGTAAAAGAAAGGTGCAAGTTTTCCCAAGCAAAAACAGACCATCACCTGTGGTTCAGACTGCCTTTGGTTATTATTGTGTGTGTCTGGAATTTGATGGCAAGAAAACTGATAATCCTGTGCCTTTCAAAGCTGATCTTAGCTGTGTGGAGCTGCTGTGTTGAATGCTGTGGAGCTGAGACCTAGGAAGTAGGGGAAGGTGAGAAGAGGTAACCAGTGCTCATTTGGGAAAGGTAGAGTTTTATTTCCCTGCAAACTCAGCAGTGTTGTGTGGTTGAGCAAAATTCCTTTCAAAAGACTGCATTTTTTTTCATAAAGAAAAGCCACTCAGCCCCTTCCTTGGTGAGCTGAATTGAACAGGATGCTGTTGTGGATGTGTACCCCAGTTACAGTGCAGTCTAAAAGTTAGGTCGCCAGTGTCAAATTCACTGTTGCTTGTCCCTTGCTTTACCTCAGAGAACCATGATTCGTGGTTTCCAGGGGACCCCTGCAGGAAAACTGAAAGACTGCAGAGGTTGAACGAAAGAGCTGCAGTCTGGACTAACCTCACACGGAGGATTTCAATGGCTTTCCGGGGATCCCAGGCACAAATACAAGTCAAGCAGTAACACAGTATCTAAAAAATGGACAATTCTGCAGAAAGGAACTTAAGGCCGAAGACATGCCTACACTTCTGAGAATCGCTTGAAGAGATGCTCAACATGCATAAATCCACACTCCTGACAACAGAACTGAAAGAAGGATGCATACCAGTCTTTGGTTCAGAGACAAAGGACACCAAAGTACAGGAAGGCAAGCAGATAACTGGAGTGCCTGTCCTACATTAGGGCTGCTGAGAAGAATCTGGTCAGCATTTTATTATTTTTTTTCCTAAGGTTGCCTGTGAAAGCAGAGTTTTAAATGCAATTCTAGGTACATACACGTGTATGTTCGTTTCACTACTGATCTCATTTGTTGCTTTTGAAAAGTATGACACCTTTTGGGAACTGATCCCCCTGGAAGTGAAGCTTTTAGTACTGCTGGTGATTTCTATGTAGTCTGAATTCCAGTTCTTTATCCTACTTCCCCAGTTCTGTATCTAGGTGAGAATTTCACTGTGATGCTGAAATGTTTACCAAAACAGAAACAAGATATTCTGGGCTCACCTAATTTAATTTCCTGCAGTGTAGTAGCATGAGCTATTTCAAGGAAATTCTGACCACTGGTTAGCACATCTGTAAAGGCTAGGGACTCTTCATGATCCCAGTTTCCTTTTGTGTTAGATTTGTCAGGTATGTAATGCACATCATCCTGGCTGGGCTTATTTTAACCACGCTGCTTTTTGCCAAATCCAGCAATGCATGAACTTGCATTTTTCCCTGCTCTCTGAAAGGACAAAAGTTGAAAAGCATGAGTTTTTTTAAATCTGGTTGTGTATGATACCAAGATTACAGGTGCCACCACAATGCTATTACAAGTCTGCTGTGAGATGTGTATTGCAAAACAGCTGAAATTTCTAATGGAGCTTGACTTCAGTGGTTGTGAGACGCAGCGAATACAAGATACCTCCTACAGTCCAGCATGTCAGTTTATTATAGATTTAATTTTTGAATGGAAGAGGGAGTTACATTTGAAACACTGATCACTTACAAAGGAAATGTTGGTGATGTTTGGTCAATCTGGCTTGGAAGGCTGCCAGCTACCAGTCTGGGTGTGAAGGAGCAGAGAAGAATTTTCTATAATAAACTGGTTTAGCTTGAGCGTTCAGGGTTCCTTCAGAAAGCTGTACAGGTGGGGGACAAGGTAATCTTTGTAGTGGCCATCTATGAAACCTTTCCCACTGTTGTGCACAAACCAGCACTGCACGTCAGTCCCAAACACACGGTTTGTCCTGTAGTCCTTCTGCAATCCCCTGTGAGGAAGAGGCCGTCCAATATGAGAGTCACGACAAGCAGACAACAAGACTTTGTTAATCCTGCTGGCTTGCAGTACTTCTCTGCCAAAGTGTGAGTGGGTGCAGAGTGGAAACAACTGCAGAATGCAATGAATTTCACAGTTCTGTGACTGCATGGGCCCTTTTGTGGGGATCCCAGGTACTACTACACAGCCAAGGTCAGATGTTGGACAGCAACATGACCAGAACTGTTCATGCAATGTTAAATTACAAAAGAATCCAAGTGTTTTGCCAGCAGCTAAAGACAGATTGTTAGGAGATGAAAATAGGGGATCCCCAAGATCCTTAATTAAGCCTGCAGTCAGTGAGATAATTAAAAAGAGAAGAAAGTCATAAAGAGAGCAATCAAGCACATTATTCCTACCTAGTAACAGTGAGTTTGTTTCCTTTCACTTCCATGGTGGCTTGTGGTTTCTCTGGAGTTTGCCCAGGTCTTTGGTTGTAGATATACACTTCTGGTTCAGATGTAAACTGACCTGATCAAAGAGATTTAAAAGCTCTATGCATGTTCTAACCTCCATGGCTGTGATGTAAGCTGATGGTAGGCACTTTTAAAAATCCAAACTGGATGCAGCAGGCAAGCCACTCCTGCATGGATCGCAGCATCTTGTCTCCAGCACTAAAGGACTGACCAAATGGGGAGGGTAAAAAGTTCTGCTTCTGAGCCAGAAAACTTCTACTTAAGCAGATTGGAACTGTGAAGAGTATTTGGGAAAACAATCTGCTGCACAGGGTTCCCACATCATAAAGGGAGCCCTGGGTGGGTCCAGGGCTCGAAGGGCTGTTTTTCTCTATGGACTAAGCCCTTGCTTTTGTTTTGTGTTATTTGCCAAAGCAGCTATTCAAGGGAGAGCTGAATTAAAAACTTCAGTACAAAAAGAAGGTTTGAGGGGTTTGTTTCACTTTTTTTTTTTCTTCAAGTCACAACAGAATAGCCAAGCTGGGAAAACCACATAACAGAGTTATTCAGAATAACCTCCTGGCTGCTTATGCTCTATAGAGTTCTTGGAGCTTCCCGGGCACTACAGCAATCCCAGAGCCATCTGATTCACCCTAGCAGTAATCCTTCTTAGTGTCCCCCTTCACCCAACATGCAGTCCTTACCTATCAGCCCTTGTGCTTCAGGAGAAAACTGGTTTTCAGGGGGGATGTAGATTCCCAGGAAGTCAACGTTAACTGGGTGATTCTTCCACACACGGTGCAGCAAAATCATGAAGGACATTTCCTCACCCACTCTGATAGTAACATTGCTTTCTTTTTTCACCGATATGAGAAGCCTAGCAGAGGCAAAACAGAAGAGAGAGCTCAGTCCAGCCGGTCACACGTAAGTGCTCAATCCCCTTGAGATGCTCTAACGCATCAACTGCGTGGAGCTGGCTGACAGGGCAACAGAAACTCACAGCCTTGGAAGCAGCACCCAGAGGTTTGGAAGGATGGTGTCTAGTAGGACACTTCATGCCCGTGTCCACACCATCAAATCCTGCCCTACAGATCTAAGCTCCTGTTACAAGGAATGGAAATTCAGGAAGTGATCCCATTCCCTAAACAAGAGTCCAGTGCTGTAGGGTCCCCAGTTTTGCTGCTTACTCTCATTCTGCAGATGAAGGTGTGGATGTTTGGAGTCATATCAGGAGCCCCTTGGGCACCTCAAATAACACAGGATGCTTATGTTTAGGCAACTGGCTCTTAATATAGTCAGCAGCAGAGAAAGAAATACAGCTTTTCTTAGTTCTGCTTGGTCAACTGAATCACTTCCTTGGCCCTGTTGTCTAATCTTCGTTAACTTCATAATATTCATAATGAGAACTCAGACTTTCAGCTAAGGAGCACGTGCCCCACTGTAGGCACCTTGCAACCTGTATCTCACCCAGGGTTGGGTAAGCCCAATGTTAAGTTGCACAGGGCAGACAATAAATGCTCAGCAACTTACTGTTTCCGAATGATGTGTCCTGTGTCAGACCAGGACAACATGATGCTGTAAGATCCATCTTTCAGCGTTATGGTTTCTGTGTCGATCTCCACTTTCAGGCCTTTGTTTTTGAAATAAAAACCAAATTTGCCAAAATAGGTGTTGAGTTTCTTATTCTCCTCCTTCTTGGCCCCAATTAGCTGCCCATTGACAACGACTCCTGTGAAGAGCAGAGATGTTGCCTAAATCTAGGGTGATAAATTTTTTCCTAGTATTTAATCTCTAATCTGTATTTTATATGTATCAGTTCATTTCTATTGCCTCTTGTCCTTTTGCTGTGCATCTCCAAGAACTCTCTGGCTATGTTTGTTTTCTGAGTAGGTGATTGTAGACAGCAACAAGATTCACTTTGAGCCTCTTTCTTTTAAGACTGACCAAACACAGCTCTTTCAGTGTCTCTCCACATCCTGTGCTCCAGCCTTATAATCATGTCTTTGGCCACCACTAATTTTGTTTCTGTTTATCAACATCTTTCTTGTACTGGCAAGCTCAAACTAGGCACAGTAGTCTGTATGTGAAGGGAAATAACCACTTCCCTCCACCTGCTGCCTCATTCAGGTCACCATGCATCCTCCTTTCAGACACTTCACCTTCACTCTTTCAACACCTCTCAGACCTGAGGGAAGGAAAATCACACTGTAATGTAAACTGTACTTTTTGTTCCCTTACCAGTACTAGGATCAGAAACCAAGTTTAGAATATGTCCGGGATCTGAGTTGATATTAAAGCAGATGTTCCTCTGGCTCTTGGGCAGGTATATGATGAAATGTGGGTCATTGTCAACTGAAACAGAGAGAAAAGACACAGGTTTGAGAAGCAGGCTACAAGAAAACAGGGGACAGACTCTTCAGCAGAGTCTGTTGTGATAAAACAAAGAGGAATGGTTTCAAACTACAAGAGGGGAGATTTAGACGATATAAGAAAAAGGGTTTTTGCACTAAGGGTGGTGAGGCACTGTAACAGGTTGCTCAGAGAGGTGGTGGATGCCTCGTCCCAGGAGCCATTCAAGATCAGGCTGGATGGGGCTCTGAGCACCTGATTTAGCTGTACGTGTTTCTATTCACTGTTGGACAGTTGGACAGATGGCCTTTGGGGGTTCCTTCCAACTCAGATGATTCTATGATTCTATACCTGTCCTGGAGATGAGGGACACAGGGATTGAGCCACTGCACTCAGAGCATTTTGAAGCAATTTTCAGGACCAGCTGACCATCTCCCTGCCAACATTCAGAGACAACTTTTGTACTCATTGCTGTCTGTAGGGATATCTTGGCCAGCTTCTACTCAAATACAGCTGTTCCTCATGTTTTGGAAGTATTAACTCATCCTGTAGCCAAGGCAAATCCTTGGCCCTTGATCAGATTTCTCTTTACAGAAAAGTGGTGGCACCTGCAGGTGCAGGGGGGGACCTTACTGCTCTCTACAAGTCCCTGAAAGGAGGTTATAATGAGGTGGGGGTTGGCTTCTTCTCCAAGGTAACAGAGAGATGACGAGAGGTGCCTTAATTTGTGCCAGGGAAGGTTCAGATTGTATATTAGGAAAAATTTCTTCCTAGAAAGAGTGGCGAGGCATTGGACCAGGCTGCCCAGGGAGGTGGTGGAGTCACCATCTCTGCAGGTGTTCAAGAGAAGAGTAGATGTGGCACTGAGGGGCATGGTTAATGGGCAAGTTGGGGATGGGTTGACAGTTGCACAGGATGATCTTAGTGGCCTTTTCCAACCTTAACGATTCTGTGATTCTGTGAAATTCCAAAGAGTGAAGAAGCTTTCTGAATATATTAAATCTTCTGAATATGCAGAATATTGGAGATGGCCCTCAATCTTTTTTCCTTATTTTCACTAACTGCTTGATCTTCAGCTTGATGCTGTTCTGATCAGTTCTCAGAATGCAAAGAATTTCCAGTGCAAAATATGTACATACAGTGGACAGGTCACTTTGCCCCATTCCTCTTCTTTTCCAAGCAGTTTCTTGACTATCTCTGTCTTAAATTAACCCTTTATCTGTACAGGAAAGGTGTTGGATAGCTCTTTGTTTGACAGCTGTATAAATAAACACATCCACACACAGCACACTCGCAGAGCAATTGCAGTTATACTGCTTTTATAGGCAATGGCTCTCCTGAATGCTCTGTGTAAGCAGGCACTGAGATGTGGCAAAGGCCCAAGTGTTAACAGGACCCATCAATCATCAGTGCATTCAGAGATTTTTATCTTCCACAGAGCATTCTTGCTGCCATTTACAATAACAGCAACTTCACATTAGCTTTGCTACTGCAAAGAAGCCCCGTGAGCAGCCTCAGCCTTGGGGAGAACACAGCAGCAGATGGGGTGACTATTAGAGCCTATTTGGGTCTGAACTAGTCTCACTCTTGTAATTTAGGGAATATTTTTACAGATTCATCTATTCTAAGTCAAAGTGGCTCAATATTTTATAAGGAAAAGTGCAATCCTGGGGCACCAGATGGATTTTGAGGTGCCTGTCATGTATGAGGCCAATGACTGTGCCATGCACAGACCTCTACAAGGGCTGAATTGAGAGCCTTTCACACATTCAGTTTTACTTCATCCCAGCTGCCCCCTCTAAACAAGTGCTGGCTTAAATCATTCTTGAAGCTGAAATTCCCAGAGCGCCCAACAATTATGATTATTTCCTTTATTTGTTTATGGTGTAATGAGTGCTGATGCATGGTGCTTATTTGCAAAGAAAGACCTTAGAGGTCTTTTCCAACCTTTATGACTTTATGATTCTATGACCTTATGAAATGCTGTAGCTTTTACCTCTGTTTATGCTGACAGCAGACACAGGAGGACTCCTTTGCTCAGGCATGAAGCTGACTGGCACAGCGGTGACATTGGCCCAGGATGGGATACCTTTATTATTATCAGGTGCATTTGGAGTTAATCCTAAAGTGCCTGTAAAATGACAGTCATAATTAGGTTTTCATTAGTGAAGACATTTTAATAGTGTAATTTTTAAAGTAATGTGTTGAATCAGAGCCTGATATCATTATACCACGTAAAGTAGGCACGGCACTATTTACTACAGGCAAATCTACAATAAGGATCCATTTGCTCCATCTCACCATCAGGGTAACATGATTCACTTACCATTTCAGTTAAGCTTCCCATAAGATATTGGTGAAAAATGGAGGCTGACATTTTAACTCTCATTCATGTGAATGGGACCCACTTCAGCTAGACCCTCAAAGCAATGCTGCGAGTGTTCTGCCAAATGAAAAACTGCATGTTTAAAATCTAGAGATCCCAAGAAGAGGGTAGATGTGGCAGGAAGCTTTAGTTCAGTTTTGCAATCAGTCTGTTCTGATAAAAGGACAACTGACCAATCTTTTGAAAATGTGTAATTTCAGTGGAAGACACTAAGCCTTTGCTCACGCAGACAGAGGAGCTCTAATTAAGTTTGTAAAGGGACAGACAGAAGGCTGCTTCAGATTACCCATTCCATGCCTTGCATACACAAACATTTTGGTACAGACTGCATGTTTTACACAATCACAAGCAAAGATTGTCACTCGTCAAATCACTTTGATAGTACTTCTACAGCCTCTGTTCTCTGCTAAGGTTCAGAAGTCATGCTCCACTGCCCGTTTTGACCCTGATTTCAGTGCTGTCAATGTTTGACTACTCTGTCAAACACCAAAGGACACAAGGACCTAATGTTAAAATCACTCGAGTCCTTTGAATTCTAGAACAAAAGAAACATGATCTGAATTAGTCTGCTGGTGTCACCTGTCATGAATTTGCACAGTAATACGTGCCATTCCTGTGCTCACCTGTTTGATAGTCATGAGCTGTAGCACACGAGGTGAGTAACAAACATTTCATTTCTCTTTGGATCTCAGCTGCAGACTTTCGAATTGAAAAGACAAATAAATGAACTAGAAAATGACAACTGGCAGACGTGAAAATTTCATTTCACTGAGGCAGGACATGGTTATAGTAAACCAGGAGTGTGAGAACTGAGTCTGCTGAATGTGCTTGGGCTCTTAGCAAAGTCACCATCACTTGCAGTGTGACATGTCAGATGTTGTCCATTGCCCTAACATAGACTGCTTCTTTCCTTCTTAGACAATTCAAACTCTCCTATTTATTAATAAATTGCAAATCATTAGACTCAGTTGTCCAAAGAGTTGCTCTTGTACTTTCAGTGCTTTCCTTACATTGCGTCGGTAATGTTTTCCTAACAGCAACAGTCGTGCTTTTTCAAATTGCTGACTGGTGAGGACACAAAACAACTGGATGGGGATGACCCACAGTCATTGCTTTGCAATGGGCCCTATCAGCTGATGCCAGAACAAGGCTACTTCACCTCATTTGGCTAGAAATAAGGTTGCTGTAACAAGGAACATGAAGTATTGGGTTTAAAGGAGTAATCCAGGAGTTTAGTTAATGAGGCACTCCATATTATTATGACATCTCAGATACCACATATACTCACACCTGATTGCTAGTAACCTTGGGAAGCTTCCAAGAGAAGAAAGTGGTGATGAGATACAGATTGGTCAATTCTACAGCTTGTGAGGAACTAGACGTATCTGCCCCAGAAAGAAGATGTTCCATATGTGACATAGCATGTTTACTGGGAAGCTTATCTCTCTAATATCAGCACATCCAATGCTCACTGAATCCAATAGCTCCAAAGAGCACTTGCTTAACAGGATGCTGTGAAAGTGACTGAAGATTTAGTCAGCTTTCCCTGAAAGTTGTCCTAAAAGCACAAACTGCCCATCTCAACAATGAACATGTTAGTTTTAAAAAATCAATGATAACAAATCCAAAATGACAGATAGTGTAGTGGCCTGAGACACTGACCTGAGCAGCATCCTCTTCTAGGGTCTTTGGGCTGATCTGCAAGCATTATCTCATCTTTTTCAGAGTTCTCTATCAGCATGGAAGTGAAGGGTGTAACAATATGATGGTCAAGGGACATCTGCAGGATGGATTTGGTGATGTTCCTCTTCAAAGCTGCAGTGGGGGCTGTGTTTCTGGGTGGAAGATAAAGCAGAAGGCATAGTTAGTAGCTCCTCACAGCAACCACAGTGTTTGTGGCTCCACCACAGAGCAGTCATAGAGCCAAGGT